TTGTGCTCCATAGCAAACATTATCTAAAATTTGCCAGCGTCCCTCTACCAGGAATCTCGCTCGCCACTCTCCATTCTCGCTCGCCTCTCTCGCTTTATACACAGAAGTGTATAATTCTGTTTCTGTTTTGTATAAAGCGAGAGAAAATTGTATATATACTCATGCAAAAATGTATATCTTCGTGTTATACACTTAATTATACAGTTTACAAACATTTTACTTCAAAAATTGCAGAGAAAAAGGCCAACGAATTATACAATTGCGAATTATACAATTGCAGTGAAATACAATTTTCTCTAGCTTTATACAACAGAAGTGTATATATTATGTTTCTGTTTTTGTATAAAGCGAGAAAAACATATATATTTTTGCTATAAACTTATAATTATGCAATATACATACATTTTAATTCGATTCAACTATATGCAAAGCAAATTATACAATGTGCAGCGAAATAGGCCAACGAATTATACAATTTAGGCCAGCGAATTATACACTTGTATATGTATAACGAATTATACAGTTTTTATGTTTGCTATGAAGTACAATTATGCAAAGTTTGCTATATTATACAAATATGAATTTTTTGTTTGCTGTATGTGAAAGTTGCCCTTATAATTATGGTTGGATTCTTCTCAACAATTTTAAAATACTCCAAGTAGAAATATATGTAAAGTTAAAAAAATGAAGAAAGACAAAAAAAAAAAAAAAAAGAGAGAGAGAGAAAAAGAAAAGTGAATAAAATTGATATGAATGTAAATCACAATAGGAAAAATTAACACACAAATTCACGTATATGTAGTGAATTTGTGAATATGAAATATTTGACGATGAATATTTCCATAATATTTTTAAAAATCTCACCATTAAGAAATGCCTCGAGTTAATAAATATTCATTAGTTAGTGAACCGTCAGGCCCGCTCCGCATAAATCCGTTCCCGCATGATTCGCCTCATATATTTTTTTAATATACTTTTTCTTGTTAAGTTTGATACTAAAATAAAATTCATGAATTCATTGGATGGTTTAATTTGCAGGCAGTCCCCAGGTAACACCAAAAAAGTTTGCATCACTACAAGCTAATAACACAACTAAATTTTGTGTTTTATCATTTAGGAATTTAAGACATGAATTGTTCAGGTCACATGATTGTATACAAAATTATGTATACCAATCATTTTTGATGATACAAAGAGGATCAGAAAGGCTTTGTTGTTACTCTAGGCCATCTTATTTGTCTTTTCTTTGTATTACTAAATAGTGGATTTTAGGTTAAAAAAAAAGGCCTAATAATGTAAATCTTTATTGATAGAACTTAAATGTCAATACAAGTACTGACCACAAGATTAATAAGTATACTGATTAAAATGTTACAAAAGTTTTTTAGATCATGTGTTTTAGTTACTTTTTAGTCATAATTATTGTGATTCTATATCGAAAATTTTGACTTTAACAATCTGAAATAATGTTCAAATATCCTTTAATTATGAAATTGACCTGATGTGCATTTCATTAATTAATTTTAAATTAACATGGAATATCTCATGTGAAATTTATTTTTCCTATATCAGAGAAGTCATTTTTCTCATTTTTAAGAAACTTATTTTTTATAGAAACATAGTCCTATTTTCTTTTTTACGAATCAAACATGAAAAAATTGAAAAATCTAAATCGTACCTACCTTAAATTGGTTTGATTTGACGTAGGGGACGAAATAATTCATTGGGTGCAACTTGACTACATTGAAAGTGCCTGGCAAGAAAAAAATTGCAGGACAGGCTGCCATGAGTTCGACATTACAAATAGGAGAACGATAATTACATTTTCAGTGTAAAAATTTGAGTATGTATAATGTTTATATACAAGAGATCAAGTATATAAGCAAAAGCGAATTTAAGCCGTTTGAAGCGAGTTCAAGATTTTAAATTTACGATTTTTTATTCAGACTTCAGGTTTAATATACAATAATAATTGAATTCACATTCAAATATTTATCGATGTCTAATGTAACAATAGAGAACTTGCCCAAAAGCTATTGGGTTCTCGTGAACTCCTAGGTTTCCATTTAGATATGCATGTATCTTCGAGGATGTTCTCCTGATCCTCTCAACAAAAGATTACAATGTATATATAGCATATTTTTTTTTTAATTTTTATGTATATTATAGATTTTGAATCTCCTAACTAGATGTGATATAGGGATTACCTTCAAATACAAAATATTATATTTTTATTTTTTGAATCTCTTTAGCAAAATTCTAAATTGAATATATGTATATAAGGAACATTAAATGAAACTTTAAAAAGTTTCCAAAGCTGATCATATGCTCTTTAATTTGATTTCAAATTGATATCTAACCCCTTTAATTTTGGATGTGCACAATTAAACATTTAATCTTGTATCAAATTAAATAAATAGATACATGTGTTAACGCGACAAAATATACAAAAAACGCTACGCAGGATAAAAATTTATCATATAGGACAAATGTATTGATTTTTTCAATTTCATACTAGTTAAAATATTTGCTTGTGCACACCAAATGACAGCTAAACTCACGTCAATGATCATGTTTATTATGTATTTTGACTTTAGCTTCATCTTCCTAAATTCATTTAAATCCATTTATTTAATTTTAATAAAATAACTTAATTATATTAGAGAAAAACTTCATTCTTGTCGTTATAGTGGTTCAATCATGCAACCTTAATTCTACAAAATCCAATAATTCAATACGTTTGAATTAGGTCTTAGTCCTAACTCACATTTCAAAGCTAGTTCAAAGGGAGGAGGATTGTCCAAGCCTCATAAGGAGTCAATCCATTTATTTAATTTTAATAAAATAACTTAATTATATTAGAGAAAAACTTCATTCTTGTCGTTATAGTGGTTCAATCATGCAACCTTAATTCTACAAAATCCAATAATTCAATATGTTTGAATTAGGTCTTAGTCCTAACTCACACTGTCTTATAAGGAATTCGCCCATCTCATTAATCAGCAATGTGAAACTTTGTCATTCTTTTAATACGTTCATTTTTATTTATTATTTCTTAAAAAATATATCAAATTAAATATGAATAACATAGAGATCGAAAACAACTAAAAAATTTATATTTATTTTAGAGGGTCACAAGTGACAAGTTGGAAGGAGAGACGTAAACAATAATGTAACAACCAAATTTAAAGCATATATAGGACCATTCATTCCTTTTTGCGTCAGTTATTAATGCTTTTGGTTGGGAAAAATCAATTAGTTAGTAGCAAAATCTCTTTCACAAAAGATAATTGATTCCATCACACATTGTCTAATTAAAAAGATATTAATAATGTTATTTCAATTTTATGTAACCAAGTAACTATTAAAGAATAATCTTTTTAAAGATATTATTAAGAATAAATTAGTAAAAATATCTTTTATTTTTTAGGAGTGACTAGAATTTTAAGAAGTATGTCTGAAGCTCTAAGCTAAAAACATCATTTATTTAAGGATATCGATGGAGAGAATACATTCGATGAATGATGTTTGTCTTATTTATTTACTAAAGAGCAACATTAAATTTAATTTTTGTGTTACCTTATTTTTTGTTTAAAGATTCAGAAAGAAAAAACCACTTTTTACCTTGGGTAAGAAAAAACGATTTCTCTGTACAATTTTTTAAAATTAATATTAGTAATTTTATCTACAACCTATATTAATATAAAGAAAGAAAACTTCAAAATCAAATTTTGCGAAAAAAGATGATTGTGTATATTATTGTATGTCATGTATATCAATGTTATATATGATATACACGTGACATATCTATATATGATAAACAAGTGATATATATACATAATATTTACGAGTAACATACATGAGATTGTTCTTCCACAACCTCGAAATTCAATATCACATTTGATATATAACTTCACCAAGCCAAAACAAAATCATATTTTGCTAACCTAAATTTTGGCTTCAAAGCTCAAACACAAAAAGAAACATTAATTTCAGCTAAACAAAATCATCAAGTCAACTTTTCTATTATCAATCAAGTTTAGAACTCTAATAGTGATTAAATAAGGAAAAACAACGATAAAATTTTGAAAGTCAAATATATAATGTGGAAATTTTATTACTATATTTGAAAGTCAAAATAATACGGTAACTTATTATAATATGATGTTCTATTATTTCATTACAATGAGTTTCGTGTGTTTCCTTTAAATGAATTGAAGTTTGTATAGTTTATCACAAGTGATACCATTTCCATGAATATGCAATATAATTCTGTTTACTAATTTTATTAATATTATATATGTTTTTAATGATTTTTAACCAACTTTAGCTAAGTAGTAAAAGTAAAAATAAATAGTACTACATTTATTTTAACTGTATTATATTGAAATTGAAAGCAAGTTATATAACAAAGTTAATATTTTAAAAAATAAAAAATCATAAATGGGAAACTTCTTGAGAAATCCATTTAGGTCAACTTCTAAATCTCCAAGAATATTACCCATAAAATTATTCCATGTGATACATGTGCACTTCATTTTTCTTCACATAAATATTATTCAAATTATTGACTATATTATTACTTCTCTATTTATTTTTATTTTTCTAATATTTTAAAAATAAAATCTTCATATTTATCCTTAAAAAAATTAAAATGAACAAGTAAAAGTAATCGATGGAGATTAGAGTATATATATATATCAAGCTTGCTTCCCTTTTTTTTTTAAAAAACCACTTACATCTTTTTTTTTTGAAACTATTAGTATTATCTTAACTTTTTTTTCAGTGTTCAATGTTCTTATTTACGTTTCAGTTAAATTTAAATTGAGGCTCATTTTGTGTGCAATGTTTTAGTAGAACTTTCTTCATATTCAAAGTTCACATTCAAAATTTCTGATTAAGACTGAAACAGTGTTACCAGCCACTCTACCACGATACACGTTAGTATATAATATTATATTAAAACGTTGCTTCCATCTTACTATATATATATATAAAAGGACCACCACCATTCATCATCCCAATACATAGCCCCTCCTACCTCATTTTTGTTTCATCAATGGCTTCTCTGACTAAAAACTCCATTCTCACATTCCAAACATGTACACCCCATAAGCACCAAGGTACAACCAATTTCAAACCCGCCGATTCATTTCTTCCTCCCTCTTATCCCCTTACTAGAGTCAAGTCGTCAACCAAAACGCGCTCTTTGTCCTCTAGAACAAGCCAGTCTTTTACATCTATCATTAACGAGAAGGAAAAGACCAACCTATCCATAGATCAATTAGAAGAAAGTGAAAACACTAGTAACAGGACGAATATTTATGAAGCAGAAGTAGTAGATCGATGGCTAGAAATTCATGGTCAAGATGATTGGGTAGGTATGCTTGATCCAATGGATCCACTTCTTCGTAGCGAATTAATTCGCTACGGAGAAATGGCTCAAGCTTGTTACGATGCTTTCGATTTCGATCCATATTCTAAATATTGTGGGAGTTGCAAATTTCCAAGACGTAAGTTTTTTGATGGATTAGGTATGGCTGAATATGGATACGATATCACACGTTATTTATATGCAACTTCAAATATTAACTTGCCAAATTTTTTCAAGCAATCGCGTTGGCCTAAGGTAACTTTTATTTTCTGTGTCTGATACGAAAGTTAAAATTGACAAAAAAAAAGTATTCGTTTATATTTTTATTTACTTAATTATGTTGTCTTGGAATAACAGATATGGAGTAAAAACGCGAATTGGATCGGTTATGTTGCGGTTTCAAATGACGAAACGACGAAACGGTTAGGTCGTCGTGACATAACAATAGCATGGAGAGGTACGGTGACTCGTTTGGAATGGATTGCTGATTTAATGGATTATCTCCGTCCCATTTCTTCAGATAATATACCTTGCCCTGATCCTAATGTCAAGGTCGAGTCTGGATTTCTTGATCTTTACACTGACAAAGACGAGAGTTGCAGGTACGTTCATTTCATTAAAAAGTTTAAGCTATCAGAGAAAACATAGAATTCGATTTCAGTACTTCTGTCTGCTCTGATACCATGTTTGAAGTTTGTAACCATTTCATCGAAAAAACTTAAGCTGTTATTCGATCTGAGTACTTCTGTCTGCTCTGATACCATGTTGAAATGTGTAACCATTCTATCAAAGGCTTAATCTAACACATAATTCGACATGTGTAACCATCTCACTCTAAAAGGTTAAATTGTTAAATAGATCAGAGTTCATATCTTTGAATGATTTATGCAGGTATTGCAAGTTTTCAGCTCGAGAACAGATACTAACGGAAGTGAAAAGATTAATAGAAATGTATCCAGACGAGGAAATGAGCATAACGGTTACAGGGCACAGCTTAGGTAGCGCGCTAGCAATATTAAGCGCGTACGACCTAGTGGAAACGGGGTTAAATGTGAAGGCGGATACAAGTGGTGTGCCAATATGTGTATTTTCATTTTCAGGGCCAAGAGTTGGTAATGTAAGGTTCAAAGAAAGAATTGAAAAATTAGGTGTGAAAGTGTTGAGAGTTGTGAATGTTCATGATATAGTGCCAAAATCACCAGGATTAGTGTTGAATGAGCATTCACCATCTATGGTTATGAAGATATGTGAAAAGTTACCATGGAGTTATTCACATGTTGGTGTGGAGTTGGCTTTGGATCATAAGAATTCACCTTTTTTGAAACCAACTAGTGATCTTGTTTGTGCACATAATTTGGAGGCTCATTTGCACTTGCTTGACGGGTTAGTCTTCCTTCAACTCTACTCTTGTACGTGAAATAAAATTGTTTGAATAGATACGATTTGCTTAATTTAAAAAAAATAAAATAAAAGTTTTAGATTTTTGGGCGAGTATAATTGTCTCATAAGACTAAAATGAGAAGTTGTAAGTTAAATTATTACTACTAACTATACAAAAGTGTCACCAAGGATATGACGACCTAGTGGTCAATAAAGACGTAGAGAACCCTGAGATTATAGGTTCATAAACTAACGTAGACAAAAAAAAAATACTAGGTGAATCTTCTTATATGTCCTAAGTCCTAATCTTGGTAGACATTATTTGATATCTATTACTGATGAGAGGTGACATATTTTATGAAATTAATTAAAATGCGTGAAAATAAACCTTATTTTTTAAAAAACAAAAACGTGTTATATAAATATAAATTGAAACAATTTTTTTATTCACATAATTAATAATAAGAGTTACTAGGTAGCATTTCAATAAAATTCCTAGTAAAAAATTATGCTAATCTCTTTTTTTTTTTTTAAATACAAATTTTGACCAGTATAATTATTGTATATGGCAGCCGGATAATGACAAAAGAGTTTAAACTTATCAATATGAAAGATCAAAAAGAAATATACTTATACAATTATATCAGATAATAATTAATCAAAGTTGGTATGGACATATAAAAACTTTCTAAAACATTATGTTAAAACTAATAAAAAATAAGTTCACGTCTGAAAGGAGTTTAGATTGAAGGTTTTGGTACGAAATGTTAAATAGAGATGATATCTTCTACACGATAGAAAATATATTAATATAATTTTATAGATTCTGATTCGACACTAAACATATATATATATATATTAAGGTGGTTGTGAGGTAGACAACTGGGATTCGAAATTATTTAAAGTTGAGCATATTATTATTATTATTATTATCTCGAACAGATGCATAGATGAAGACTTCAAAAAGAAAAAATAATAAACAAAGACAAGTAACATCATCATATTTTTTTAAATAATGAATAAAGTAAGATGAGTCATCACTTATATATTTGTTTATTAATGGCATGGCCATATATATATATATATATTATATATCTTGTTTTGGCATTTCTAGACATACAGATCTTATTCACATGAGTCCACACCGTGTGAAAACTCTAATTCCAACAACAATTTTTTGAAATTCTATTGAATTTTTGTGAGTGGTAGCTTTAATTGGTAAAAATAATTAGTGCGATTATTTTTGACATTGTGAGCTTTTCAAGTCAAAGTCATAACTAAAATTTAGTATTGTCGTACGTATCTTAAAATATCAGATGAAATGATTATATTTTTTTAAAAATATAAAAATTTGAGTGACGTGAAAATTATGATCATATTTCAATATCATTTCAAATTATAGTCTTGAATTTCTATATAACTTTCACGTAAGGAACGTAATGAATGCATAGCTATATATATTATATTGAAAATGTGATTTTTTTAACAGTTTAGACTTTGAAACATAGAATGTATTTATCTGTTAGACAGATATCATGGAAAAGGGAGAAGATTTGTGCTTGAAAAAGGCATAGACATACCCTTAGTGAACAAAAGCATGTGATTTTTTGAAAGAACATTATTGTGTTCCTCCTTTTTTGGAGACATGAAGGAAAAAAGGTGTATGATTTAGAGACTATGATGGTTGTGGGGTACACCCTGATCTTCCTACACTTGATGAACATACTCATGATATTCATCATCATATCAAACATTTAGGACTTTAATCTTGTACATTATTAATATGTGTTACTATGTAATCTTGTATGTAATATAATATAATGTTTTAGTTTTAATAACTGTTAGGTTTTAAGTATTATTTTATAAATTATGTGATATTAAAATAACGAAAATTTTAAACTTAAACTTTTTTTTCTTCTTTTGCACGATTATATATTGCGTACTTTGTTATTGTTGATGGCTCACCGACACCATTGCTCATGTTAAAGAACAATCATTAATTTATATTTATGTTATTAAGGATAAATGATAAGAAGTAATAAATTTCATTCTGCACGAAGCACATGTAATTTTACTAGTTTTTCATAAGATAGAAGCAAATGTCGTTTGATTGGCTTAAAATAAGTGGGGTTTGAGTTAAAAATTAAATGTCAAACAAAAATGATTTTTGAATCAAAAAATTAAAAATAAGAGAAAACCTAATTTGGAATTCTAACTTATTTTAAGTTTTTTTTTTTAACTTTTTTTTCAAGATATTTTTAACCTTTGCAAACACTTTCTAACTAATTTAAATTTTTTTTGACTTATTTTAAATTATTTTTAGCCTTGTCGAACACTTTTTAACTTATTTGAAATCATTTTTTGACTTATTTTAAGTTATTTTTATGTATGTCAAACACTTTCAAAAGTTAATAACTGACTTAAAAATACGTTTGGTTAACTTTTAAACCAAATTTAAACACCCTCATAATTTATTTTTTTTTCAAAAACTTCCTTTAAAAAAATACATTTTGAGAAAAATACCCACTCGAGGCCTGTTTGAATTTGAAGTTGTTAGAAATTATAACTTAATGACACTTAACTTATTTTGTCTTTTTGTTTAAAAGTAAGTGGTTAAATCCACTTCTTTTTATTTTATCCAAATACTATAAAAATATTTTAAAAATACTTAATATAACCTCATCCAAACAAGCACTTTAAAAGGCTTGGTCAAACTTTAATTGCTGCTCAAAAGTGTGTATTAAATAAAACTTGGCATTTATTAACACAAATTAAAACTTTTAACTTAAAGAATTTGAATAAAATATCATTTCTAAAAAAGAGTTTAGTTAAGCCTATCTGTAAGATTAGAATGTGGTGGGAGATAAAGATTGAGATGAGATCATCTTAAAAAGCTTGTAAATAATATGGTTGGCTAAGGATTTTAATATCAATACTAATTAAAGATTGTTGTCAGATCAACAGGATCTGTATATAATTATTTAGAGGAAAACAAATAAAACAAAAGGCAAGTTTGTATGCACCATATCACTTTACTTTATTTTTTTAATTAATAGAAAAATAATGTAAATGACTCATTCATTTGTTTATCTATTCTTCACATGTCTTACTTACAACTCATATGGATCCATCCATATATACTATGAATTATAAGACTCTTGATGATTGAGAGATAAAAATTATCCACCTATAAAATTTGAAGGAGGGACTAAACCTTACCTCATATATATATATATATATATATATATATATATATAAACTAATTATGAACTTTCTCTTTTATCATATCTAATTCTGAAACTAGAACCATGTATATAGTTATTTGATGGCATAATATATAAATACAGTTTTAAATTTGTTTCGAACAAATGATATTTATATATGTTTTCTAGTTTGAAATGTATATAAGTAGATTCATACGTAAATTTATATAAAATTAAATAAAAAAAATACATTTTGTCTTGCATGATATATTATAAAATGATAGTTTTATGTCTTATGTTACGTCTTATGCATATTATTTATCCTCCCATTACTATGTCGTTTGAGAAAAAGAATAATTTGTTTTTAATGAGTTGTAATTATAACCGAATCAATGACAAATTTAAATATGTGATTAATGTATTGTGCTCTTGCCTATATGGTATATTGTTGTTGTTGATTGTTATCAATTATGTTATTAGATTATTTTTAACGGAATATATTCATTATAAATAAATAATTCAAATTTATGTTTATTTTTAATAATTTTTAAACCTTATAGGTATAAATCATATTTATTAAAATAGTCAAATATTCTTGAAAAGACTTAGAGCCAAATCAAAAACTTCACTCACATATTATTTATCAAGAATATTGAGAACTTAAGATCAAACGCTAGTTAAGATATGATACATCTCTATTTATCTGAACATGTTGTCTTGGCTGATTTTTCATCTGCAATAGCACCTTGTTTTCCACAATTTCCAACACACCATATATAATTGCCTTCGATCAATAATTTGTATACAATTATTTAATTTTTTTGTAATAAAGGTGTTTTATTAACTTTTTAAGAGAAACAATAATGCTTATAGGAAGTAGGAGAAATTATTTTTTGTAAAATAAAGAAGTTCACGTTCATTGGTGCTTCCTCCTGCACGTATATTGGGGTGAGAGCGGGCTAGATATAGGGAGGGAGTCTTCTACAAATCGCATTAATGATCTATGACCTGATTTTGGAAGTAGTCGAGATGCCTTTAGAGTCGAGTCACTTCGTACCTTCCTAACGTCTATTTCAATCGTTCCCCCCACCGGCCCTTCTCCTTTACGGGTCTTGATTTTTCGCAGTCGTCGTGGTCGACGGAGTGCTGCCCGTTATTAGGTCTAAGTGGGTTCTCCCGCTTTTTCGCCTTTCAGTTTTCTTTTTTAAAGATAACACTTTTTGAGAAAATTAAATACACATTTGAGACCCGTTCAAAGTAAAAAAATTTAACTTATGGCTTTTTGATTAATTTTTATTTCTTTAACTTAAAAATATATATTTGATGCATTTTATCCCAATACTTATAGAAGTGTTTTAAAGTACAGTATATCCAAACAAGCACTTCAAAAGATTGACAAACTTTAGTGGCTGTTAAAAAGTGTATTAAATAAAATTTGGCATTTGTTAGCACAAATTAAAACATTAATTTAAAGAATTTGGATAAGATTGAGATGAGATCATCTTCAAAAGTTTGTAAATAATAATGGTTGGCTAAGGATTTTATAATTTTACTAATTAAAGATAGCTGTCATCAGATCAACAGGATCTGTTAGTATAATTTTAGAGGAAGACAAATAAAACAAAAGGCAAGTATGTATATTTCACTTTTTTTTTTATGATAAAGAAAAATAATGTAATTTCTTTATCAATTCTTAACATATCTTACAACTCACATAAATCAATCCATATACAATATGAATTATGAAACTCTGGTGATTGATAAGAAAAGAGATCAAATTTAGTCCCACGTATAAAATCTAAACTAAAGTTATTAAGTCAAGAAATGGTAAGGAATTTTCAATAATGACATTTTAGAGATTACGAAATAATATTTGGAATATAATACTAGAATTTATAAGTATGAGATGATCAATTTAACATGATTGTGGAGGTATAGGATTGGTTAATGATATCAACACAAAATGTTCTCATTACACAAACATTATCTAAAGACAATGTTTATGCTTAGAAATAATATATCATAAAGAGGAAATAAGCAAGTGTTACATAGGTATATTTTTACTTATTTACGTTTGACTTCGCACACCCCCTTAAGATCATCTAAAAAGGGTATATTCATTTTTCAATGTTTAACGAACTTTATTCTTACTAATTATAAGTCATCTAAATATAGAATAATGAATAGAGAGTATGTAATAGTAGCAAAGATAAAAAAGACATAAAATAGTAAATTTATCTCTTGATTTTTCAAACTAAATAAAGAAAATCACATGACCGTATTTAGTGCATATTGGACAAATAAAAATGAACAGAGAACGTAAAACTTTATCCATAATATATATATAAATATTGCTATATAACAAGTAGAGAAAACGTGGACAAATGTTCAAATCCATTAGAAAGTGAAAGAATACATATCCCCAACATCATGATCTCAACAACCTAATAAAAAATTTATGGTGTTTGACCTAATGGAGCCAGCCTGCTTCTTTTCTCAACAATAATTCAAACTCTTTATTTCTTATTTAGTGGGTTTTCATTGATTTCGAGGTATAAAATAATCTCATAAATATTTCGAAATTATAATCCTTTTTATCAACCAACCAAAGGACCTTGAGAATTGCATACAAAGAAACATTGACAGTTGATTTGGCTTTATCACAAATATCATAGAGGAAGGTGATTCAACCATGACTTTTGTATATAGACAGTAAGTTCTGCAATATATATATAAAATACAACTTTATATCATATACATGAAAAATGAGTGTGTAATTTATATAACTTACTGTCATGATTTCGAATGCATCCTGATTCAAATAGTAACAAGAACTCTGCAAGGACTCGATATGTCATCATGAAAAAGTTCAAACCCAAATTTAGTAAGCTATTGAAATCAACTGAAACAGTTACTTTCTTTGTTTAGCTAAAAGGCATGTAGTACACAATGATGTTGTTTATCAAATCTCAAGTTTAGGTGTTATGATTCTTTTTACTATATCTAGAGGTGCATGCTCTAATCCTTTTGGCCAAACAAAAAACGATAATCAACAGTTGACTAGCATTACTCACACCACTTGTTCATTATTGTAGTTAGCTGAGCATGCTGTAATGACTTCCCTTTCAGAACATACAATCCAAAGTTATCTTTACCAATCATCTTCACCTGATTACTGAAGAGGTTTTCTAATATAACCAACTCAGGGAAGAATACTACTGAACATCCAACTCCTTGGTAAATAGTGAAACTGATAACAAGTTGTACTTGAAATAATGAATATACAAATAATCATTCCTAACATCTCTAGATTAGATGTAATGTGGTTTGATGCCTATTATTCACTATACTATCTACTTAATATGACATTAAGTTTATAAAAGTACCTGCAGTTGCAGCTTTCCCCATATGTTCGAGATGTTCATTCTTCGTTTTCAATGTTAAGCATTTGATAAGTTTGTTGGTTCTGCTTGATGGCTGGTTGCTTGTGGATATCCATCCAGCAAACTTATATCAGCATGATTAACACAAGTTGAGATCTTCCTCCTTTCTTTCTGAACTTCAAAATCTGGTGGATACCCCACTTCTTTTGTATGTCCTTTAGTGTCGCAATACTCGCACTGCATTGGGATTTTCCTTGCCTTGAAATTAACACTCACCAATGTCGTTGAAGCCTGCAGCTCCTTCTCTTACCTCTGCAACATGTGCAAAGTCTGCCAAAAATGTCTAACCAAAAATGTCTAATTCTCCTATGAAATTATCAGTATCATAACCAGTACTTGGCTTCTAGATTAAGCACAAGACTCATTAAAGCTCATTGGGATTATAGGAGTCTTTTAGATATAAAATGTTCTGAAGTTCTTAGATTCTGGACATGCACTTTCAAGATAGAGCATGAGAACTTTACACTCATTCGAAAGATCTTCCAGTTTAGGAAAAATAATTCAATAGAAACATGGTACACTGTGATAAGGTAGCAATCTCTTTATGCAAGTAGAAGATTCAATAGTCATTCACCTTGCCAAATCTCCTTCAAATCATTCAACATTTTGTGAGCATTAAAAGCATACACAATACCATCGACCAACTCTTTACAATATTCATAAAACAAAAGAGGACTACAATTCACCTTTTCCCACTATTCATGCAGGTCAAACTCATCTCAAGTAATAATCATCGAGAAAATCTAACTTGCTCTTGCCAAGTAAACCTATTCTCTCATAGATCTACTCCACAGTGCATAGTTCTCGGTCCAGATAATCGAATACAACAGCAAATTACCTGGTGTGCCTGTAGGTTGAAGACACAAAGGATGTGCCAGAGACTGATCAGAAAAAGAAGAGACAAAGGGTGATTGTGCTCAATTGAAGCAACTCTTCCCACTAATCAATCACAAGAGCGGTCATCTCAATAGCTATGAACTCAACTGCTCAAGAACGATTCAACTCAGACTTGTATGAATCGAAACAACTTCTCCCACTGATCGATCACAGGAAGAAGATGAAGAAGAGAAAACATACTGCAACTGGATCTAGCTACATGAATACACTGTGAAGTCTACTAATTGTCCACTTAATAAACCAACAGTCTAACTGATTGTCTAACTAAACTTTAAGTCAATTAGATCAAACTTTACAGCCTTGCCATTTACTATCTATCATAGCCGTCTCGCAGTTACAATCTCAGCTTGTCACTTGCGCTCATTCTATCAACGAACTATTAACAGTGACTAGCATGTAAAGGTTAAATTGTCACAATATCAAACAACTAACAAGTAATAAAAGATGTGTAAACTGACAGTAGTTTTAGGAAAATGAACATTTCCAATATATAAAAGCCATTAAGCAATCCGCTTAACTGCTATTATTGCAGCATATCAACTAATTTTATAATTACAAAAACAATACTTAATAAGCAATGTTATAATTACACCGCCCAAATGCGCCCTCAAACCCAGCAGAAAAGTAGAATAACGGAGAAAAGCATCATCAAGATATTAGTCAGCAATCCTCTGGACTCCCCTAAATAAAATCTGGACAGAATGTTTAACCTCAATTACTTTGATCAAAGGAAACACTGTTGACAAGATGCAAGCCAATGGATAAATGCATATACCATCATCGCAACCACCTTGAGAGACCTTTTTAAGTAGTGAAGTTAGCATTTGTTCCAAGAAGTATTAGTGACTCATTGTCTTAGAAAGTTTTTTGCTCGTTGTAACTCCATACTGATGTTCCATAAGCTCTCATCAGTCTAAAACCTCTTTCAAATTGTACCTGCAAATGTAATGTCCGTACAATATAAACAGTTGTGCATTTGATAAATGGACAACATACATACTGGTTAAAGAAAAGATACTACATATTGAATTGATTGAGGGGGTGGAATATCCAATCTTCACATACAGGGTTTAAAGGTACCATTTTTTTCATTAAAGTGATATCAACCGTCAATATATTGAGCATTTCAAACTTTAGGAGACCATGTAATCCATCTCATATATGTTACAAAGCCAGTTGAACATATAAGGAAATTCTAAAACAGAACTCTTGCTACAGCTAAATGACAATGAGTGCAATCAAGTTGCGAGTCTAATTCCTGAGGTTGTACAAAAATTGGAAAGATGTACTTCATTCCAATTTATGTGACATAGTTTGACTCGGCATGGAGTTTTTTTTTAAAAAACTTGAAACTTGAGGTCTTAAACAAGCCATGACATTTTGTGTGACTATATAAGACTTTGAAACTAGTGATCTAAAACATGGTCATAGTATGGCAATAAAAGCTTCAAAGTTCAAATTAAGAGCAAAAAAGTAAGTTCATGCTTCCAAATATAGAATCGTGTCACTCATTTTTAAACAGAATAATAAGGACACAGTGTCGCATAAACTGGAGCCGAAGGAGCAGTAATCATTTTGGACACCAACAATCACCTCAGTTGTAAGAGAATAAAATAAGAAACCAAAAATTGAACACTTAATTAGATGCATCATAAAAGAGTTGTGCAGTTACAATATCCCACATCCACCCTCTGAACTTCGCATCCATATCCTCATAAAATCATTATCCCTGATTGCAAACACTACAAACTGGCAAATTACCATAGGCGCTTCAAACATCTTGAGCTTTTTAGCTCTGCACATGCATATCTGTTATTCATTAGAAACTTGAAGTCTTTTATTTGATTATGCACAATTAAACAAATCATACCGTGTAGGGCAATGTCAATGAATTTGCATCATATTGGATCTGATTAAGGATTTTCAGTCATGTTCAATATGTCAGTTCCATAAGTGCTTATTGCAGCATATGCAATGATCTGAGAGATCTAGCACTTCTATCAGGATTTATGTTATTGGATGTTTTATTGGCCACAATGAATATTAATCACAAAACTAAAATTTCTAAATTGTGATCTCAGTTCAAACTTCACAACTGAGAGAGTATAATGTTGGCAGCAAAGTAAATACAAACTACCATCATCATGTAGTGGTCTCCGTTTTCCTCCTTAATGTGAAAAGACAGAGGTAGTTGTAATTGCACTCAACCTTAATTCACATGACGCATGGCAACAAGAGGCAGTGGCTAACGGTGATAATCTAAGTGGCATAAATAAGAAGCGCCTAAGAAGACAACACGATATGAGACAAGGCATATGTAAAATTACAAACAGCCTCCTTTTTGTGAATTACAGAAGGAACCCTTTCTTACTCGTGTTCTCTGTGTCACTTAACAAATTGAGCCTTTATCGCCGCATATCAAACTCTTGCAGCAGCTTTAGAGTCGTGCTCTGCCTTACCCTGTTAAAAAAGACAAAATGCATAGTCTATTCAGTAGCAGAAAAGAGCATGACACAAAATTAAGACATCAAAAATCTATTAAAGTTTCCACAGAGTATGAAGTAATTTTTTCAAAGACCAATCTTATTTATTGGAAGAAGAAGAGGGAAAAAGCTGAAAGTTGATCATTTGCTTCATTAAAGGGATATTCAGTTCAATGGAGGAACAGTCCTAATAATGAGCACACTGGTTGATACATTATGCGATTTCAGACTTCAGTTTCACTAAGAGTGAGAGAGATGTTGAAGTTAAAGTGGTTCTGTTGTGCATGCGTTGAAAGCCATTAAATAAGTATTTAGTTATATTTTTAGTAGCTTTATTTATTATTCTAGAAGAGGATTTATGTTTCATAGCTTCATAAGTATTAAGTTAAGCTATATATATTAGTTTGGAATAGGATTTAGATTTCCTACTTTCATAAGAATTGACTTCCTATTGATGTAATAAGACTCCTATTAAAGAGGTTTTTGATGAATAAAGGGGCAAGTCATATTTCAGAAAAAATCAAGAGATCGGAGTTATGTCCATTGAACTCTAAGGTTTCACTCTCCCTTTGAAGAACTGAAGTTATAAGTTATATACAAAAATAGGTCGAACTGGGAATTCGAACAAAGGCAAGGGGAAGTCAAAGTCAATTGATTTAGATTTTCATGTTCATCGTCATGTGACTCGATCTTTTTCTAATAATCCTAACAATTTCTTCACAAATACTATAACAAAAGAATTACAAGGAGGAAAGCACAAGAATCAGGTAAATGACAAACCTCAGATGGACTGCTTCGAATCTTCCTTGTTGGGGTTCGCATGGTGACAAACTCCTCTGCTGCTGTAGGGTGAATACCCACAGTGGTATCGAAGTCCGCCTTGGTCAACCCTGCTTTGACTGCAACCGCAAATCCCTGGAAGTTTCATTATGACAAAAAGCATTACATGCATATTTTATGAACAATCTGAAATATGCACCAAAGAATTAAACGGAAACTCCAACCTGTACAATTTCTGGTGCATCGTCTCCACACATGTGCAAGCCCAGAACTTTGCTAGACTTCGCACATACTACCAATTTCATGAAAACCCGATCTGGAAGACCAGAAAGAGTGGCCTTTAATGGTCTAAAATTTGCTGTATAAACATCAACATCACCATATTCTTTGATGGCCTGTAAAAACAATTCAAATCATTTATCATAATAATTAATTATCAATTCACATACTCTCGCTATTATACCTCTTCTTCTGTCAGGCCAACTAGTCCAATAGGTGGCTGGGAAAATACTGCACATGGTACGTTCCTATTTGGGAGAACAGAACACTCAGATCAGGGAGCAGCTATAGATGTTTCTTTTTAAACAAATTAAAATTCAGCTGTGAGAGCTTATGCATTTTACATGGTAGAACCACAGATCTCAAAGCACATTACCAATTTGTAGTAAAAAATAATTGGAGAAGTGTGCATCTTCGGCAGTCCTTGTCAAACTTTTTAAGTCATCAAATGAATTCACAGAAGAAAGAAGAGGTACCTATAATCAGGTTTTGTGGGTTCACCAGCAAAAATAGTTTTTGCCAATGCTCCTCCCTCCATCAAAGCAACTGGAGTTAGATTAATTCTATCAGTAACATCTCCAACTGCCCAAATTGATGGCACTGATGTACGAGAATACTCGTCAACCTGTAAAAACAATTTGCAAATTAAACTCTCATTCAAGAACACATGCACTAAATAGTTAAAGCAAATTCGGAAAAAAAAAAGAGAGAGGAAGGCAGAAAGGCAGTCACCTCTATGGCTCCGTTCTTTGTCATTTTCACTCCCACTGTATCTAATCCTAAATTCTGCAATGTGTTTAAACAAAAAGAAAGCAAGTGGTGGTTACAACTTGAATATCCAATCAAAGAGAGCATGTGTTTGCAAAAAAAGATGAAAGCAGTAATAAGAGAAGACGATATCCTTCCACTTAATATGAACAACATCAAATAACAAACAACGAAGGAGTTGATGATGAAAATAGAAGCAAAATAATCACCTTTACAGGATCACCAGTCCAACCAAATAATTTACCGCCACCCACCACCCCCACCAAAAAAAAAAAACTGACTGGCCTTGGCAATCTCACACCACCCAAAGAGAGGATGGGAGAGAGAGCCCAAAAGAAGGTTCAGTAAAAGATCTTCTCATCAGAGTACCTTGGAGTTCCAATCTCGTCAGAGTACCTTGGATTTCCACTGCGCTAAATGTTAGCAAACTTTCAGCCTTTCACAGGCATCACAGGGTTTTGGGTTTAGTATTGCCAATTTTGGGGGGAGGGAGAATGATTGGCTAGACTATAGAGGAGAAATCACCATGCTCTTCCTCCATAAGGCTTCAAACATAGTAATTAACTGAATTAACCTATGAGGTCTATCAGAGATATAAGCTACCAACAGAAAGCAGAATAAACCTTAGTATTTGGACTTCGTCCTGTTGCAAACATGATATGAGAGAAACCTTCAACTGTTCCTCTGTTAGTCTTTATAGACAGTGAACCATCTGCTGACTTGACAATAGCCTGAGGCGACTCCTCGGTATGGAACTCAATGCCTCTCAGTGACATCTGTTCACCAACAAAATCCCTAATCTGCATATACAAAAGAAGTTGAGTGCATCATCCAGATTTTGGGTTATGAGAGAATATACTTAACAGAATCTACTCTGCATGTCAGGGATAAATTACTCACTTCTTCATCAAAGCCTCTCAAAACCTTCTTTTGTCGTATAAATACATGGACCTCACTTTTCAATCCATTGAAGATTCCAGCAAATTCAAGTGCAATATAACCGCCTCCAACAATGGCAATTTTGTCAGGCTTCGTTGGCAAATCAAGGGCAGCATCAGAATCTATAGCATACTCGCTTCCAGGAATGTCTGGGATAAATGGGCGGCCCCCAACTGAAATTAGTATGTTCTTAGCCGAGTAGAGTTTACCATCCACATCCACTGTATGAGGATCCACCACCTGAAAGTACAGTCGAACACAAGGTAATATGCTTCAACTTGAAGCCTTAAAGAGCATGAAATTCAAATCCTAACATT